GCTCAACACAGATTATGCCACTTTTGAAGACTATGGTATGAAGCCTGTTGGGCACACAAGCTGTTCTCAAGTATTACTGCAGCGTAGTTGGTCCTCTTATATAAACTACCTTAGCGTGCACAGAGGCCTTATTGCAGAAGCTCCATGCAAGGGAAATGAGATGTCTTTGCAATATGAACCTAATTTTCCTAATTAGAAACTGCACCTAGAAACTTCCAGCAGCCACATATCCAGAAAAAATATGTATCATGAATTATTGTATGATAGTAACTTTTGTCTAAGCTTTGTTCTCCAAAGTGCCTTAATTATACCAATCATTAGAGAGATCTAGAGAACAGAGCAAACTAATCCTGGGCACCACCATGGCTGCTTCTTGTAACACAGACAGGGAGTGATTTGTGTGCCTAAGTATATAGTGCCATTCTGGATACCGGGACACTCACACAGGGCTTGCAGATATGAGATGGGACCAGAAGGAACTGTACTAATCTGGAGTTTCAGCCAGAGGTTGAAAGGGATTCCCTAAGACATGTAAAATGGCTCTACACACTTGCATTTAGGCAGCCAGTCAGTCTTACAGACAAGTCAGATAATAAGCTACAGCAAGGTGAACTACGATGTGAAATACACTATGCCAGCTACTGCACACTCACTGTCCATGCATGTTCTCACTCTCTGAAGCAGGTAGGATAGTTCATCCCTCCTTCACAACCTGAAAGTTCACAACCATGAACAAACGTCACGGTATTTCTGTGCTGGTATGCCATGTAAAGACAGAAATAGAATTGTTAGTACAGAAAAAAAATCCCACAGAACTAATAATAATGTCTAATGCAATTAAATCATTGGGCTGTCTTTGCAGGAGAGATATGAAAGCTTTTGGAGTTAAAGTTTGTTGCATTCAACCCGGACTGTTCAAAACAGCATTAACCAATCCAGCAAAGATTATGAAAGAGAAGGAGGTTATTTGGAATAAGCTTCCCCTTGATATTAAAAGGCAATATGGAGAGGACTATTTTCAGAAAGGTGAGGCAATTTCCAGACATTTGTGTCAAAAAAAGGAATGCATTTCTTGCTGACAAAGCCTTGCAAAGTAGCATTATATCTTCTAATCATTCTGACTTTTTGGAAGGCTACGATGTGAAAAGTTACTCTTCAAATGCATCTGCAACACAATATGACTATCTGCACAAAAGACTGCTTCTGGGAAGCTTTATTCAAATCTTAGTTAAAGATTAATTATTCGTGTTGGCATGAAGCTTTTTCAGCAAACTCCCAAACAGAAAAACTTTTATCTGATGATGTAATCAATGTGCTCAACGTGTTTTTCTGTCATTATTGTTTATTTATTTAGTAATCAAATAGGGATCAATTCCCTTTGCTTCTGCTAGCCCCAGTGGTGATAAAGCCATTCAGGACCTGACAGACACTTGCTAAGCCTGCATGAACAGGGGCTGCTTGTCTTTTGATCTTTGGACTTTCTTGTCCCTCAAATTTCTTCTTTACAGTTGTGTTTCACAACTTTCCACAAAGCGATTTCCTTACTACAAGAGACTTATTTACAACTACAGCACTTTTGTTTCCCTTTGCCTCTTGCATAGTTATGTTTATTCTGAGCTACTGTCAATGCTGGTTACCTGTCCTCAGACCATACAGGCCCACTTTCACCATCACTGTTCCACAATTAAGGGTAACTAGACCATTCTTGGGGTCAACTACATCACAAGGTCATTTTGGTTGGGGACTTGGTCTTCAGAAACTGCTACAAATTCTTGTGTAGGGAGAAACAAGAAATACTAATTCTTTAGTGATATTGCACAAATCAATATGGGGGGAAGAGGAAAAAGTCACCTTGCCTGGCTGTCACTAAATGATCTTCTTTTTTTGAGCTTTACAGATGCAGCAAAGAAAGAAAAGCTGTCCAAGATCTGTCTTAACAAGGACATTTCACCAGTTGTTCAGTGCATGGAGCATGCCCTAACAAGCCTCCATCCACGTACCCATTATGTTGTTGGGCAGGATGCTAAGTTGTTTTGGAATCCCCTCTCAAGAATGCCAGCAGCTATACAAGACTTCCTACTGCTGCGGAACAGAGTAGAGCTTGCAGCTTCCCATATAAAGTAAATATTTGCCAATATATTCCCCATCACAGACAAGGCTGATTCTATAAGATCTGTCCTTTTCATCAGCGTGAAACAAACTATACATGAAATACACACGCATTCCCTATAAAGCTAAGAGATATATCTACTTCTCCAATATCTGCTACTATTTTAAAAAAAACCCAAAACATTACATTATTTCCTTTTTGAAGTATAAACCAGAAAGAAAAGAGGAACTATTAAACTTTCAGAAATCACTGTGATTTTTCAGTTCCTTCACCTTTAAGGTTCTCTCAGTTTGAGAACCCCTGAATGCTCCAGTTTTCACAAAGATCCAGAAGACAAAAATATCCCAGGAAAATTGGGAATGTGGCTTTAAGTCCCTACAGCAGGAAGAGTTCTGTCATCTCAGGCAGAGGAGGGAATGGAAACAGGGCCTTCCTCTGGGAGAAGCGAACTATAGCAATATAAACTAGGAAAGAGGGTGGGAAATCCTCTTCCTGATACTGCTTTCTTTAGCAGCCACCCCTATTCAGTTTTGAGGTGAAGAAAACTGTGGTTGCCTTTCCTTGGTACACTCCTAACAAGATTACTTAGTCAAAAGTGATTAGGGAAACAAAGAAAGTATGAAATCACACCACCTATTCTGATTTTTGTCTTTAGAAATTATAGTTTGGCTGGTTTAATTCGGTCCCTGTCAGACCACAAGTACACTGTCAGCTCCTGTGAGACCCTAGCACCGCAAGGGTTAACATTTAAAGGAAAATACAAACAGAATTTGGGACAGGGCACCCTAGCTGTAAATATATTATTTAAATTAGAAATGCAGGAAAAATATCAGCTGCTCAATGTATTACTTCTCACTGTATGGAGGGCCAGATTCTGCTGGCACTTTCCTGGAACCAGATGCTTCATTTACTGAGATGCCAGCAATAAAAGCCAGTGACTTCTGGAAATGAGCAAACAGTGTGCTCTGCTATGGCTATCAAAACCTGTCCTGGCTCACAAGATTGTATAAGGCAGGTGAATATTTAGACATATGTTTTTAGGGAATAGAAAGGACTTGTTCAGGAGAAGACCCATGACTTCCACAAGGTCAGAACGTCCTGGAGCACAGCACCCACGGGACCGGCTTCAGTTAACTTGTTAGAGCCAGCACACAAAGGTGCTCTTCAAAGCCTCCACTTGTCCAGCCGGAATAATGTTAGCTTCTTGCTTTTCACTTGAGAGCCATATTTCCTTCCCCAATATTAAGCTTCAAGCAAGGTAATTTTTCCACATCCCTTCTAGGAGTCACTGATCTCGTTATGAAATACACTTAAGGAGTCAATGAAATACACTTAAGGAGTCAATGGGAAATCAGACAGTCAAGTGCTGCTTTCTGCAGATGAAAGACTGTCTCATGCCAAGTCGGAGGATCCTCTGTGATGAAAGGAATTTACTGGAAAAGTTCCCCATTTCAGTGTTTTCTGACATGCTAAGCAGGATCTATTCAGCTTTCTGAAATTACTTCCTGTAGTTCAAAAGCAGTTTGCTGAGGGGGAAAAAAAAAATCGGGAGTAGAGAAAAAGAAATTCCTTTTATGTTTTTCTCTCCTACATTTGTGTGGGAAAGGATTGCTACCAACAATAGCAGGACCTGACACTGCTGGAGAAATGTTCCCCTGCGACGGGCTTTGCCTGCTGGTGGAGTGCTGTTTTGTGGTCATTTCAACCATGCCGTAGAGCCTGTCATTTGAATCAGGTCAGTCAGACAGGACTAGGCAGGCCCAGCAGGCATGTCTGCTGGGCTTGTGCTGGAGAGAAAATCTCTGTCAGCCACCTGTTGAATCCCCAAGTCCCCAGCAAGCTGCACACATCTCCTGATTGCCCCAAGAGTGCTGAAAGCACAGTAAAAACCAACATCACAGCTCAGGCTGCAGTGGCAGAGTGGCAAAAGAAGCAAGAATTTCCAGGCCCAAGCCAAAATGAGCAGGGAGAGAAACTGGAAGAAGAGCTGTCCACCAAGCAGAGAATGAACTAACAACTCTGCAGCTCCTGGCAAGGAGCAGCCAGAGAGGGGTCACCATTGCCACGGTCCGTTCAACTGAATGGGCCAGGTCACTTCCAGCTCCATCTTATCACCTTGCTTGGTTTCCACAGTTTTAATTTCCTCTCATTCAGTTAGTTTCAAATTCATTCTGCTGTTGGGAAAGGTCTTAGCCCAAGTCTCCTTGCTTCCTGCAGCACCAGGCACTGCACAGCACTGTGAATGGGGAGGCATGAAAAACGGGGAGGAGTTGTTCTGCTTACATCTTTACACAATAGCACTCAGACCTGGATCAGAAGTGCCCAGCAGACTCTGGGCCAGGGAGCAAACAAACAAGCAGCCTAGCAGTCATATGTTAGAGCCTTTTCCCATGCAAACTCTAGAGCTTCTGTTTGCATAGTTTGTAGAATTTGAGCTTTTACTTGAACAACATTGCTTAGTTACTCTGGCAATTGATTTGTTTCTAGTAGCAAAAATCTGCCCTAGACTAGAAAAAATAATTTCATCCCTGAAAGTTTTCAGATGCAAGGATGTATCTGAAAAGATGAATAACAACTCGCTCACATTCCAGAGAAAAGGTGGAGGTCTGAACCAAGCCCTGTTAAATCAGTGGAAAGACTCCTGCTGGTTTCCAGACAAAGCACAGATAAATCCTTCCCAGCTGAGTAGATTAGTTCTTTCTAATGAGTCCTGACAGTACCCCAGGCTCTGTAGATTACTATATATAGGCAGCAATGCTTATACAACATAGGTAGGATAGGCAGGCATGGAGCATATATAGAAGATTAATAACAAGTAAGTCCCTAAGGCAGAAGCATCACAGCACAAGTCATTGTCAACAGCAGGGAGAGGGGCAGTGCCTGTCAGCCGATGTACAGCGATCAGAAAATACCACCAGACACAGAATTTACAGTAAGATTTTTCTGGAAACTATTATCAGGCAGGTCGTGGTGTACAAGCTTCTGAGTTTGACTTGGGCAGTTTCTATGTTCTGACGCTGGAAATAACTGGCAAAGGCAACTTGTGAGCACCTGGAGATACAGACTGAGTTTGCAGATGTCTCCCCAGAATGTGAGTACCAGCACAAAAACAGAACTTGTGTCTACTGTTATAGTGAGCAGTACCCATTACATGCATTTGCAGAATAGCTAAGAGAACAAATTAAGCACTTGGGTTTGAGTGCAGAGACAAGAGAACATTCAGTCCCTTCCTTTCTAGAGTGATTTTAACAAGTATTTCTTATCTAAGCACCTACAGGGTCTGAATAAAATGCTAACTCAGAAATGTTCTTTCCAACATCTGGAATATTTCTCTAGTCCTTTATTTTTATTTACAGGTCAGTCACCTAAGAGTTTACAGGGGTTTATTTCCCTGGGTTTTTTACCGATGCTGTGGTAAAAATCTGAAGCACAAGCCATACGAGGAAAGATATAGTCATGCCAAGAAATCAGCCCCCCTATTGTACCACACTACATTCATGTCCGTGCAAAATGCTGAGTAGGGGAGTTTGGAGATATATTTCTTTTGAGATGATATATTAATGAAGATCTTAAGTCATCTGTTGTCCACTAAACTGAATTATCACCCTGACATTTTTGCACAGCATACGAAAAAGCATTCCTTTTCCATAAGACAAAAACGCAAAGCCCTGCGTGTGCTGGAATAACTCACCTAGGGGTGGGAGATGTGATGTGTTTGTGCCTGCATATTTAATTTGTTAACTGAAGACCAGGGGTTTTGTAGCTCCGGCAGGATGACCAATTATTAAAGTTTGTACTTCCTAGACTCTGGAGAGCTGTTGGGTGATCTGTCAGAGGTTGTCTTGATACATCTAAACCTTCTACTGAGTGCTACATGAATGCTGTTTTCTAAAGAACCCCAGTCCCTAAATTTCCTCTTGGCAGTTCTTCCTCAGCATGCCGGGCAGGTCCCTCTGATCCATTGCAGAGCACTGACTTCTGGCTGTTTGCACTGCCAGCACAGTGGCAGATGAAGGAATCCAAAGCACACCCAGACCCCAAACCTCAGCCGAACCTGAGGTTCTTTGGCACAACTACTAAAGCAAACTTGCTGAGGGAGTAAAACAGTAACACCCCCCTTCAATACGGTCTATGTGCTTCAGTTTCCTTTAGAGCAGAGGGATGCTGTATTTTGCAGCTGTCTAAGGATCATAAAGGACTCTCGATGTAGTCATGCTGCTTTTCTCTAAAATCAATTGCTTTTATAATGGCATTTGTCTAGGTGTAAGAAGCCAAGCTCTATCCCAAGAGTTCTCATTTTGCCAGGCAAATATAAAAGTTTTAATGGAAAGTAGAATTTGCCTTTAGCTATTTACTGGCTACGTTAGTAATCAGAATTCAGTATTTATGAAGATATATCAATACTCTTGAAATATCATGCTGACATTTTCTCTGGAAACACACTCTCCCACTCCAGGCAGCTATTAAAAAAAAAAAATCAATATGCCCCTGGAAGACAAGAGGCTTTTTTAGTGCTCCACAATTATCAAACAAGAGATATTTTGTGTAACATTGTACGTTCATAAAACTAGACAATTTTCCTGGAAGAAAACTTTAATTGAGACTATTTCCTTTGATTTGGACCCCAGACTCCTTCCAGCAGCAACGTCACCTAGCAGAATAAATACTGACAGAAAGCTCCAGCAGAGCAAAACCCACCGTGGTGCTCAGCACAAAACATCCATGTGTTATCAGAGAAGGAGCACTGGCCCAGGGCTGACAGGGGAGAGAGCAACAGCCGAGGCTTTGCACAGCACTGCCCTCTCAGCTGTCAACCCTAGAGCCCCTTGTCTTACAGTGCTTCTCTGCCAATTATTGCTACCTAAACACAGGGACTAACACTAACCAGAGCAGTCCTAGGTGTTTCTTTTACAGGAGCCAAATAGGCATCCTGGCCAGATGCTCCAGGACTTCTCCACAGAGCCCAGTTTCAAATTTAACCTGCTTTCCAGTAGCGCAAGCTCACTGCCCACTGCTCCCTCCCTACAGCACAGCCAAGGAAGGAAGGTGTGATTTACAGCTCCTGTTTCTAGTTGGGTTAATCTTTTCCCAAAATTTCTAATTTTTTCATTTAATTTTGTATTGGGATAAAGGTGAATTGAGTCCTAAAATGATATATCAAAGCACTAGCTTGCCGAGTAGCTTGCTGAGGTTTATTGGCATGAGGTTACAAGAGCCTACTGGGATCAATTCCTCTCTCTCTTTGTGTCTAGCTCAGCTCCAAATTGTAAATCAGCAGTCAAAAGAAATGTCATTTACTGGCACATCTTTGCAAATGGACTGGGGCTATCTATGATCGGCAGCTGCTACATCCTGTTTTCAGACTTTATTTTATAGCACAGAAGGCTGAATTAGCCTGAGCTCTTTCACACAGTTTTAATGGCACTTTGTCAGAGCACACTCTGTGAGTCCTCTCAGAAAATAAATGTCACCAACTCAGTGAAACATCACAATGATGATTCCAAAGTGCACACATTCAGGAACGCTGCAATCCTTGTCAGACTTAACGGGGACATACACAGCAAAAAAGCCAAGTAACTAAGTGAAGTACTTGAACTAGAGAGTCAATTACATCAGCCTCAAAACAACAGGCTGCTAAAATAACCAGTGCAGCCCACGAACCAATCTAACACCCCAAAAATTCAATGGGAGCCTCCCTGTAGATTGCAGTAGAAGAAGCAGCAAACTCTCATCTGTGTATATTTGCTTAATGTTTTAAAATCAGAGAGCATTAACCAGTAGCTCAGAAGCCCATATTGACAGCTACTATGTAAAATGAGATCATTAAGTGGCAATGAATGTTGTCGCTTGTTATCATTTATCAGCTATGTGACTGATTTATTTAATGAGAGTCCAACATTCATTCACTATCAGATTCTGAGATTCCTTCCCTTCCTACTTGGTAAGATGTCAGCTAAATTTAGAATTAGAATAAATCCAAATTAATCCATGAACTCAGTAGGAACAAGAACACCAGACAGCCTCTAGCAACCAGGCCTAATACATTGGGCTTCTTTTAATATTCATGTCTTAGGGTAGCAAGGATGTTACATAAAAATCAGCCAAATAAATGCTTAACTTCAGACAGCTGTGAGTTAGAGAAGACCAACCCCTTCCTCTGAGTACTTTCAGGATGTAAAAATAATTCACAAATTCCCTCCCCCTCCCCCCACTTTTTTGAAAGTATCACTTCATTCTTTGAATGCAATCACATTTTAAAGGGCAGATGTCTGCACCTCTACACGTATGTAGGTAAATAAAGCCTAGATGAGTGCTTAGCACCCGTAAAAAAAGTTTCTTTTTAACAGGATTGTGGAAAATGATTGCCAGCCTTCCCATAAATACTGGTTTTAATGAATTATTTTTGTTTAATTCTTGCACAAACCAAAAATACAAATAGACAAACAGTAATCAATCAGGAAGATTTTAGATGGCAAGAACTATATTCTACATTTATAAAAAGTTTTTGTAACAAGCAAACAGTATCCTCCCTACCAGAGTTAGGAAACCTTGTGTTCCTTCTGTGCTTTTTTTTTTTTTTTTTTGAGGGCAACATCTCCATGCATTTCCCCATTTCTTTATACAAACACACTTTCTAGAGTATATATTCTATGTGCTGTGTGTCAGCGCTAAACAGGCAATGAGGAAGGAGACAGAAGATGCATGCATTGCCCCAAAGTTTATGTTGTCTAAGGGACAGAGAGCAGATCACTCACCATCACACATCACGAGTCACACAACAAATTAGTCATCAGACCCACCACCTCAGCTTAGGCTTTTCTGGTTGTTCTAGGGGTCACAATGCTTCTGTGCTACAGATTAGAAGGGCAGCCTGGGTGGCATCATACAGGCAAAGAGAATCGTCCTTCTTCCCAGAGGAATTCCTCTCTCCAGGATTAGCACAAATAATCACTAGTGTCCACAAAAAACCCCAGATGCTACTGTGAGAACTGATGCAGTCATTCCTTTCAGTTGGAAACATCCTGAAAGGACAGGACCGACTAGAAAAATTGGTCAGCAAAACTTGAAAACAGTGGAAATCTATTGAAACAAAGGACAGGGTAGGTTTTGCCAAGGCACATATTATTCATGGATTGCGGTCACATTGTGCCAAAGCTTCCACCCCTGCTCTCCCCTAACTTTCAGTGAGCTAGAAGGGCTGCAACCAGAAAGAAAGCCCCTTATGGGAATTGTGTTTGAGGAAGTTAAGGGGTTGGCTGAGCACATTTGCTTCATTGCATTTCTAGATCATTAACTTATTTGCTTGTAGCTCTTACTTTCAGATTCACTGCACATAGCAATTTTGGCTTCCATACTTTCTCTTATCATTTACTGGCTCATCAGAGACAGTCAGAGAGTGAGAAACCTGAGTGGAAAGCATGTCTTCATAACAGGCTGTGACAACAGACTTGGAAACTCACTGGCTAAATGGCTTGACAAAAGGGGATTTTGTGTCATTGCTGCATGTGCCACAGAAAAAGGAGGCCAAGAGCTACGGTCCTGCTCCTCACTCTCGCTGAAGACAGTGAACCTGAACTTAGCTGACTCCAACAGCATTGCCAGGGCTGTGGTGTTTGTGACCAAAGAGACGACTGGCAAGGGTAAGTGACAATTTCCCAGAAAAATTATTCAATATAACCAAATCTGGTCTAGCTAAAAGTTCTGGTGCCTCTCCCCTCTCTGCAGAGGCATTTTTCATCTTACTGATGAAACACATTCACTCTTCAGTTTTGTAATTTCTCAGTTCAAAGAGATTCTCTCCAGCAATGCTTTTGGGCTTCCCCTCGCTTTCACCAACAGGGGTGCCTAAAAATCTAGTTGCTCAGACTATTAAAACTAGATCACTCCCAGGTGGGTTTTTCAGACTCCTTTCAGTGCAGCTGAACAATCTCAGTGAGGGGAAGGTGCTACCTGGTACCAGAAAAAACTTTCTTGACAATAAAACCAGCGCACCCAATTAAAAATGGCTGGTACAGGGCTTCTTCAGCCCTCCTCTAGTAATCAGAAGAGTGGGGTTTTTTGCATGACTGAGTAAGTCTGACTTTCGCAATGCACACAACAACGATTGCACTGACTTTAACAGTTAAACACTGTTTCAGCCAGTTTTCTTAGAGCTGTTATATAGGTAGCTGTCACTAATGCTATCATACACCTCTGAGCACTTGTTTAAAAGAGAAGTTTGTCCTTGGATACCTATGAGTGGAGTTAAAAAACAAGACGAGTGTTGGTTTTGGCAAAGGGTGATAAAAAGATCTGCGTGGTAAATATATTCAACCATAGCAATACATGTTTCTTTCTCAGCATTGATAGTTGTTAAGGGCCGCCAAAGGGGATCACAGCACTGCAACTACCTGCTGTAACACAGTTATACCAAATATTCAGTAGGCTTGTTAATTAATTCACTAGCTAAAACAGCAAAACGCGTATCTTCTACCAGCAGGACTTTCTCCTCAAAGCTTGTCAAACACTGTTGGCCTCACTATGACAGTTCCAGATCATTCTTGAATGTAGTGATTGAGGATGAGGACAACATAATTATTAGCACTTACCTCCTCCGGCAGGCCCCTGCTTCCAGCTGGTGGAAGGCCACACGTTCTCAGTCGGGGTAGCCACTGCTAATGCTGTCACCTCAGTCTGAGAAACTCTTTATGAGCACTGGACTTTCGGCCTCTCCCTTCAGGCACAGGCTGTCCTCAGCAAACTCTTGGAAGCGTCACTATTTATCTAAAGGTCCTCAAGTAATTTATAAGGTAGTAAAGCAGTATTATCAACACACAGGGTTAAGCTAATATTTTTAGAAGCATTGACTAATTCTGTACATCTGGTTTAGACCTTTAGATCCCAAACCAGAAAAATCAGTCTCTCCACTTTTACGTGGACTACTTGATTTTCACAGGAATGTAAGTCCGTATTAGGAGACTACACGCTTGAGCGGATCTGGATAATAAAGCCCAGTATGGCGGCCCATCTCTAATCAAAATAGTTCTCCTTTAATAGTTTACCCATGCTCTAAGAGTCATTGCCTAAGGCCTTCAGCAAAATTTGCCAGGTGTACAGAGTAGATCTTACAAGCACACCCCAGACAACTGTGTTCATCTCACTGAAGTTTTTGCAGACTGTGTGCTTGGTTCCCAATGCTACGTATGAAACTCTAGACTAAGATATTGCCATTGCCACATACTGAAATAAATGGTTTTGTAATCCTCTTAGGGCTTTTTGGCTTGGTGAGCAATGCTGAAGGAACAGCACCTGTAGCACCCACTGACTGGCTGAGGATTGAAGACTTCCACTCAGTGCTGGATGTTAATCTGCTGGGATTGATTGAAATCACGCTCAAGCTTCTGCCACTTCTGAAAAAAGCTGAGGGAAGAGTAGTCAATATCTAGTTAATGCCAAAGGCCTCATGGCTTTTGTAGGAGGTGGCTACAGCCTGTCCAAATGGGGCATGGAAGCTTTCTCTTGACACCTTACGGTGAGTAGCTACAAACACATGCATGACAGATTCCAGATGTGCTGAGGAAGGGTGACTGTATGTTTGCCCCTCTTGTTTTCTCTCTGGAAATCTTGCCTAAAGGGGAAAAGGAAAATAAGAGGATGTTGGTCATTTGTCTTCACAAAGACGAGGAAAGTTGGTTGCAAACCATTCTGAACCCTTATATAAAGAAACTATATGCCCCAAGGAAACATAATATAAACTAATGGCTAATATACCTGTGGGCCATTCCTTTGCACACTTTGGAATGTAGCTGCCTGGGTCTCTGGAGCTGCCCAGCAAGACAAAGAAGCCATTTTCATCCCAAAGGAATCACATTGCAACTCAAAATTACATAGAGGGAACCATGCTACCAGAAAACATGCTAACCTTTATTGCACTAACATTTAATCACTTAACCATAGCCATTTAACCATATGATAGACAATAAAGTTCTAATCCAATTGAAAATTTTTACTCACTTTTACTTTTTCCCAGGCACTTTAAGAATCTGTTCCTGCTGGAAGCTGAACCGATGCAACAGTATTTGAAATAGTCAAAAGTTTTAGTTTGATAATACATGGCTAAGATGCAGCTGGCGGCTGCATCCTTTGCATCAGTCCAACATAAACCACACAGAAACCTGTGAATCTACCTGATACTGGGTTTTTTTTCTCAGAGTTAATTGCCTGCTGCACTTTTATAGGACAGATACACTGCTATGAAGTTAATTTGAACAGGTCAAAAATATTCTGACATTTGAAGATAAGAATCAAAGTCTCAAATACTCACGTGACAGACTTTCAACTTATGTTTAATGTTTACGCCATTACTGGGTGGTCAGAGATGGCTATTGGGTTTTTTTCTTCTAGGATAGAGATGCAGCATTTTGGAGTTAAAGTAAGCATTGTTGAGCACGCTTTCTTTAAGGCAGGAGTTGTTAATTCAGATGTCGAGAAATACCTCTTAAGACTTTGGAACAGACTAATTCCTGAGATCAGGGACTCTTATGGAGAAAAATACTTTGTTGAATGTAAGTAGCAAAAGGACTGTATGAAAGCTCAGGGGGGATCATATCAATGTATATAAATACCTGAAGTGAGGCTGCAAAGATGACAGAGCCAGGTTCTTTTCAGTGGTGCCCAGGGACAGAAGCCAAGGCAATGGGCACACACCTAAACACAAGATGTTCCTGCT